ATATATATATATATATCTATATCTAGTTGGCTAAGTTAACTGCAAATCCCAAGCATGAATCGTAAACCCTGCCCAGATTCGCACCGAGAGGGTTCATGTGACGCTTAGGAGCACCCGGAGCCTCGGCATCGAAACAGACATGGGCAACTTCAACGTGGCCGACACTTGACTTCACAGAGACATGTAAACTCAAGGCTGTGAGGATGTGAGCCGACCTGCTTTTTCCTGAAATCCCTATCCCGGGCCTGAAAGCCACAAACCCACGAGCCCCACCGGTACCCTCAGCCTCGCACGGAGCCGAGGTTTCTGCCTTCGGACGAGCACATGACTGGGGGTCAGCCATGGCGGCGCTCAGCTGCTGCCCAAGGCCATGGCATTGAGGGGCAGCCGCGGTTTAGGGCAGAGGGTTACACTGTAGAGCCATGTAAAAGGCCATGGAGAACCGCACCAAACGATGGTTGCTTGCAGCGTGGCAGCCCCACGGCCCCTACAAGTCCGCACCTTCCTGAAGGTTGCTCACAACTTGCTTTTGCGTGGTGGTTTCAACGCGTAGTTTGCGGGGGTTGACTGGCTCATGCAAAGATGGGCATGGCTGTCAAGCTCCGCTGCTAACCTCTGATTCTCCTGGCAAAGCAGCGAACGACACTCGTGCCGCAGGGTTCTTGCGCGTTGAAGGGTGTTTGGAACAACGCGTCCGCGCTTGCGCCCGAAGCCACGCATTCCTTTAGCCACACCACATTCGGTCACGGCCCTCCTCATCTCGTATTTATTCCTCGCTGGCGAGCCATTCGTTGCACGAAGGGCCTGGCGTGAATCTGGATCAATGTTTCTGCCTCAGCGTGTGTCAAGGTTTTCTTGTCCAGGTTCTCCACTTGGTGCTCTTCCTCCCATTACATGTGAAGTCGCACCACTACGTGCACACACAAGGTCTCGATTGCTCAGTGTTCGCCTGGACGCCTCAAGCAGGGCCACGTGTGCTGAGTTGCAAATATGTTCTGTCGCGAAATTTAAAGAGAAGAGCGAACCAAAATGCATGCGGAAGAGATTGGAAGAGCCATTGAACTTATGTGAAGTGGCAATCACGGTCATAGCAACAGCAACATCTAGCAACAGCCTTCTGGAGACTAGGGTAGTCCGCACGCATACCCTACGCTTCGGCACCCCAAAATCGCAGTCTCTATGCCTTGTGAGTTTTTTCGAAGCACCTAAGACACGCCTCTAGTCCTAAGCTGTGGAGTGTAGTAGGGTTGGTAATTTGTCTCATCCATATCTCTACAATCAGCATGCCGCCCCGGTGCGAAGACGAATACAGCTCTTCCGTAAAGAGGAAAACAGATGGATACTTCTGTATAGCCACTATAGACTCACAGCATAATCAAAGCCTATTGCAGATAGGATCCCTCCCATGTTGAATCCGGAACTGCCCTGAACACCCCATATGTCGGGTTTTGGCTTTACGGGTTCATGGTGTTGGACCTAGGCTTGATTACACTTCCGCCACGAAAGCCAAGATCACCAATCGACAAGCCTACGCTTCTAAACCGAAACTAGGGCATCTTAGACGAGCCAAGCCCTCAGCTGATAAAGCCTCAACACGCCAGAATGCTGTTCCGCAGTCCCGATCCGGTGACCTGGACTGCCGTGCTCACGGCCGTGGCGGCTGGGGGCCACTGGGCCATGGCCCTGGCCGAGGGCCCAGCACGAGTTCCCAAAATCTCGGAGTTTGTAGGGCTCAGAGCACCGATGCTTCGTCAAGCAAGCAAATCTACCGGATGTGTCGGTGTTTGTTTGTCTGTCGGTTTGCCAGTGCTTTTGAATGCGCGTGTTGTCGTATATGTACATATATATATATATGTATGTATATATAAATATGTATATACATGTACACACATAATACGGGTATATACAGAAGTGGCGCTCTACAGGCCAGAGTTTTGCAAGATTCTTGACATGGTGTATGATGAGCTTCCTTCTTCTGTGCTGTGTGTGACTGTCCTTCCGGGTGCAAATATTCTAAATGTACCTATACTCGTCTTTCTCCAGCCTAAAACAGTACGTAGTTGTTCGGTATACCCACCTATCCCCACGCATACCTACATACCCACACACCCACGAACATACATGCTTGCTAGCTGGCTCGCCGGGACACTCACACACTAACAAACAAGCAACCTAACTACCGAACTACAAACCTACCTACCTACAGACCCACCTCCCTACTTACCTTCCTAACCTACCTACCTACCTACCTACCCACCCACCCACCTACCTACCTACCTACCTACCTACCTATCTACCTACCCATCTACCTACTCGTTGGCTAGCTCGCTAGCTAGCGAGCTAACTAGCTAACCCTGCTTGAATAACTCACTAGCTGGCTAATTTACTTACTTGGTTACACGCTTGTTAGTCTCTCTCGCACACCCCGACACACACACACACATACACACACACCCGCGCGCGCATGCCTGCCTACGCCCATGCATGCGAGTTGTGTAAGTATGTGCAGAAGCGCAGATGTGTCTATGTCGTGATGCATGCATACATGATTACTTGTGCAGACATACGAGCATGTGTGTGTGTGTGTGTATGTGCAGAAGTGAAGGTGCGCCTTTGTCGTTTCAACGAGCCAGGTTCATCATACATGTGCAGATCCAGAGCCTGGTTCATCCATGCGTTTCATGCAAACAAGCATGTATTACAATGCTTGTCAAGCCTGCCTGTAGGTGCTTAAGTAAGACCATATCTAAGTCTGTATGTATATATATATATGGTATGTATGCATGCATGCCTGGATGCATGGACGGATGGGTGGATGTACGTGTGAAGACGCAAATATATACAAACGTACATGCACACATTACGCTATATCTTGTCACGCTACCTGGCGGGACTTTCCTTAATAACATATACACATACAAACCTGCGCACATTCATGCATTCATATGTACTTACATACGTACATACATACATACATACATACACGTACACATACACACAACATAGACGAACACACATACACACATGTGTGCGGTATATAGATACATGACATCGACACAAACGAAAACACGTACACGTACATATACATGCATACACATCGACATCCACACATAAAGACAAACACACTCACACACACATACATAGACACATACAGACACACGGGCACGCAGACATACATAATGACATACATACACCTGCCTGCATGAATGCATACATACATGCACACACATGTGTATTTATATATATATATATAGAGATAGATGTATATGCGTACATACATATATATATATATGTATACACACATATTCATATACCTCTACAAACGCAAATATATACATACAGAATGCACGTACTATACACACATCTGAACATCTATCTACATGTAAGAGGATCTACATACATCTATATGTATACACATGCATAGACATGTGTCTTTACATATACACACTGGTATAGCCACATACACGTATTCCTTTACATACACACATACACTACATCTAATTTTACATATACACCCATTTGCACATATGTACGTACATACATACATACATACATACATACATACATTCAACGCGTTTCTACATTGCCTACATCAACACACACATACACACACACATGCATACAATACACACATACACAGACACAGACACACAAACATGCGAAAGTACAGTCCCAGCGCATACATACATGCATGCCTGCACGTGTACGTACATGCATATGACTGCAGGCATGTTTACATGTATATATGTATACACATATTTGTATATACACATATGCGCATATGCACATACGCGTATTCCCTACACAAACAAACATACACACATAGACACACACATACTCATATACATGCTGCATACGTACACATGCGCCTACCTACATGCAGTCATCCACACACACATAGACGCACAGACATACAGACATACATAGATACATACACACATACATACGTCATACGTGGTTATTTATATATATATATATATATAGCTACACATACATGCATACACGCGCATGCATACATACATACATACATACATACACACATACATACATACATGTGTATACTTGTATGCATGGATGCCATATGTATGCACAGCCCCATATGCCGCTCGGGTTAGGTTTCAGCGACCGCTCCCCTATTAGTCTGATTTTGGGCTAATATAAAGGGGCAGCTGGTACCTAGAGACTGAGCCTTGAAAATCCACATGCAAGCAATCTGAAGATGCGGACGGGAGCATCGGCCCTTTTTCAAACCCCGCTTTGGGAGGTTCCGGGTACCCCTCCAGGTTTCGCGCAAAATGCAAACATGAGCAGGCTTGCAAGGTTTCCAACTTGTGATCCGCTGGTTGCTCTCACAATCTCATAAAGATCGGTAGGCATGGCTGCGGGTGGATCTCCTTGAATTAGGTCTTCACGGACACGATGCCTTTCTGGCAGGAGACACCCTTCGTCATCCTGACATGTGTAGCGGAAGTTCGCTTCCAGAATCTGCAGTCACGCTGCAGATCGGGTCCGAAAAAAATTTGAGACCCAACAGAGGTGGCAAGTGTTTCGAGGACTGAGATTCCAGTCTCCACCTGTCGGTGTTCACAGCTTCTCCGGGCAACCTCGCACAAAGCACGATTGAAGCGAAAGAGAGCAAGCACCGACATGCTGGCAACGTGCTGCAGAGAATTCGAAGATCAGCAAGCGGGTATTCTTCGAGTCTTGATCCGTCAACAGAAGCTGAAGCTCGGATCCGTCCCCGTCTATCTTCCACGCGACCAAGCCTTGAAGGCCAAGATGCTCTTCCTCGGTTTCGTTCGCCAAGCAACAGGTTTCGAGCAAAACTGCTTTCGAAGCCAAAACGTCACGGTCCCGACCTTCACGTCCAGATGAAGATGGGTCCATCCTCCCTCTCGCAGCGCATCCGGAGACGAAGCGACAGCCAGCGGGCCCACACCATAGTGCCTGCATCTTCCGGTGGAAAATTCATTGATCATAAGGCGCACATTCCTTAGAACATGCCACACGAGGACTTCCAGCTCCCCGTCGAACTGCGATCGTAATCTGCAAAGGGTATGCATGGCTGGTCAATTTTGCTCGAGCCACTGCATGAAGGAGTCGTTGCCCTTCTTTTGCAGGAGATATCGTTTGTCGTCCCGCCAGGTGGATTGTCGAAGTTTGAGGCTTTCTGCAAAACTTGAAACCCAATGCAGGTGGCAGGTGTCTGAAAGTGTGATCCAACGACAGCTTCAAGAGTGATTCAGGGTTTCGGATTCAAGCTGCATGGGTAACAGTCGCTAGAAAATTTTACCGGCAGCACTTTTTGCACAAGGAGAGACCTGCTGATGACGAGGCAGATGATGTGAAGAAGGAAACCACATGCTTATCCTGTCTGTCT